GGGGGGGGGGGGGGGGTATTTTTAATTACTAAGACACACTGTAAATTTTTAGTTTAAGTTCAATAACCTGCATCAAGTGTTTTTTTAAACAAGAGTTTTCCGGCTTATTTTCAGATTTTTAATTCAGAATTGCACTTGTTAATATATTTAATTACAGACATATTGTTGTTCCATGAATAGAAAAATGAGGTAACATATGAATTTTGTAATCAAATAAAATAAGATGCTTCCGGTGGATTAACTCTTTGTTGATAATATTTTTTTATAAGTTTCTTGTTTACCTGGTTAAAGAGTATAGTTTTTTGTGTGTTTAAACTATAGAAAATTAACATATCCTATGCTTGGTTGTATTTGAATTTGCAAAATGATAATTAAAACATAAATATTCTGATGGTGGTTGATATAAAATATTCTGATGGTGGTTGATATAAAATATTCTGATGGTGGTTGATATAAAACTACAAACAGATTTTTTTAGTTTGAAATAATTTTGAAGATCAATTTCATCGCTAATTCCAGTAAATCTACGGAAAATGTTTGTGAATAATGATATATTAAAGAAAACAATAACTGAATAAGAATGATTATTTTTAATAATAAAGGTTAATTTTATTTTCACAACCTGTTCCTAAAAAACTGTATTGTTTACTGTAGAAATTTTGTAACAATTCTTAAAATCATTCCTCCAGATTGGACTATCAGTGAGGATTCTAAAGATTGGGTTTCGGCCTTGCTGAACAATTATACAATTATTATTGGTATTAGAAATATACACTCTTAGCTTAACTACAATGTCTAGCCGGTCTCTCCCTTTAAAGCATAACCTTTGATGAATCAATCTCCAGGACAATTCTGAGATTCTTAATAAAGGATGAATGAGGTTTAATAATAATAAAAATTAAAACATTAAATAATATTTGAATCGGGCTTTAAACGCATGCCCATATATAGTTATAAGTAGTGATAGGCGACAACATGTTTCTTCTTTCCAGAACCCCTGAGTCCCTAGCTTGGACCCTTGCAAGGCATCACGCAAATGCTGTGAACTTTGTTCTTAAGGTTTCAACATTTCAAAACTGTATTCTGTTAACTTTGCTTTTTTTAACTTTTCAAAATTGTCATCCAAACATACTTTTAGAAAATTTTGTCTAACACAAAGATAATCCCGGTTTTTTTACTCACCCTTTATGTTCTCATTTATCTTTACTCTATCCCCTATGATTTTGCCCTTAGAGTTTAGATAGGAGAGTTGATAAATGTTCATAGTCCAACTGTAGAAGGTCTGCTCATTAAAAAAATAGACCTATCTTTAATGATTAGGGTGCAAGGGAGGATTTTAAAAAAGTAAAAAAAGTACGTCGGAAAAATTTTCAAAAATAAATATTTTTACTTTTGACAAATTTTAACATGTGACAGACAGCTACCAGAAACATCAGGACTGCTGCCAGAAGCATTATCACTGCTGCTAGAGGCATTAGGACTGCTGGCAGAAAAATTAAAATAGCTACTATAGGCATCAGGACTGCTACCAGAGGCATCATTACTGCTACCAGAAGCAACAGGACTGCTTAGAGGCACCTGGACTGCTATTGCAAAAGCACCAGTACTACTGCCAGAAGCGCTAGGACTGCTACCAGCGTTACTATAAATGCTACCAGAAGCATCAGAAATGCTATCAGAATCATCAGAACAGCTACCAGAAGCATTAGCATATATTGCAATCAAAAACATCAGGAAGGCTACCAGGAAGCATCATCGCTGGTATCAAAAGCATCAGGACTGATGTTGAAGGAAGCAAAGACGTGACGTCAAAACGCAAAAACTTTACCATATCTGGAGCTGCTGGGTTCTGGTTTACTTTACTATATATATAAATATAACTATGTATGTCATGGAAGACGTAGAAAATATCTTTATGATTAAATATTTCAAATTAGTTTATTTAATTCCGGCAAATTGTGTAGATTTTCACCCTTAATTTTATAAAAGCACTTAAAAGTTTTTAATTCTACTTGTTTGGCGATGGTTTTCAGGCACTGCTCAGGCAACTTAATAATTAGTAATTAGTAATTAGAAATACCCTCAAAATTTGAGAACCCTGATATTTATTTTTTAAAAGTTATTACGAAAAGCATATATAAATCATAATAAATCATATTATTATTATTATTATTATTATTATTATTATTATTTTTATTATTATTATTAATAATAATAATATTATCATATATGCCCATTGCGCACATCGTTATTTCTATACTTGCACATACATCTCTGCACATACTTCATTGTGCTTGTCTATTTAGAAGCAAATACATGTTTTAACCACAATTGTTTTGAGCTAATCTAGATTATCTAGACAAAAGCTTTGATTTTTTGATTTAAAAAAATGATTTTTTTATGTTTTTCTGAGCCTTGAGTAGTTCGCGAAATGATAATGTAAGTTTTTAAACTAAAAACTCGGTAAATGCACCTTTTTCTAATCACACTTAACTGTCTTAAGGGAACAAACTATGAAGAAACTTTTTTGTAAAAGATTAAGAAATAAACGTTTTGTACAAGATTGCTAATATATATACATCATAACTAGTGTGTTGTCCAATTTGAATCTATAGGTCATTGAGAAACGTTAACCTTAGTTTTATCATAATTACGGTCAATCTAATAAAGGAACTGAGATTTTGCCACAAACTCTGATTTCCTAATCCCGTTATCTTTGCAACCCGATGTTGTAATTCTTTGATATTTCAAATTATAAATTGTACGAGATTAAGTAGATTAGTAGTAGAGTAGTTAAGTTTAAAATATCAAAGATTTACACTTTCAGGTTGCAAAGATAAAGGGATTAGAAAATTTAATTATGATGGCATAAAACTCAGTTCCTTTGTCTAGTATTAGGGTGGGTTGATACCCTGTAAACATTCAGAGTAAAATCAAGAACGGATTCATTGTCTGTATTTGCAGTCCTTTATATACATTCTGCAGATATAAGATGAATTTATACAGTATATTATAGTTTGAGAGTTATGCAAATATTCAAAAGGAATTTTGAAGTATCCTTATTCTACATTTTATATGCGTTCAACATTCAATATTTAAATGTATATTTGGTTTGTTATGTTTGTATGTGGATTTGTCTGTACAAAAAAAACGCCAAAACAGCTGAAACGATCAAGCCCTTAAATTTATTAATGGTATTACTTCAAAGACTTCACAGAATCCTACGAAAGATCCATGGCTAATGGCCAGTACAGAAATTGGAAAGTTTTGGCTGAACAGAATTTTATTTGTCAATAATTCCCAATATTTTAGATAGTTTTGTTTTCAATTATAAAAAAATATTCTCATCGAATTTTCGGATTTTTTAAACCAAGAAATCAACAAATAGACAATTAAGATAGACGGCCTATACTTGCTTGCAACATGTATTATTAGCGCACCAACTTTTCTTCCTTAAGCTACAGTTTTAAAAACTATATTTTTAAAAAGCCTTTGAAAAATGCATGTAGAAACATGTGTCACACTTTGATATTTGTTTATCTCAAAAAAAATATTTTTTTTTTCATTTTTTTGACCTTTTTAGGCATTTTTTTCCACCCTCCCTAGCACCAAAACTATTAAAATTATTGGTCTAATTTTTTTTCTATGAGCTGACCATGAAAAATTTGACTATGAACATGCATTTCAATCCTATACCTATTCTCTTTTCAATTTTCAATTTTATTTTCATGCTCAATCTTCGTTTTCCACTATTATTTTTTTGTACCATTTTTAACGGGGGTTTTGTACAATTATTCTTATTTACCATTTATAACGGGGGGTTTGTACTATTATTCTTATGTACCATTTATAACGTGGGTTTTGTACTTTATTCTTATTCACCATGTATAACGGGGGTTTTGTACTTTTATTCTTATGTACCATTTATAACCGTGGTTTTGTACTATTATTCTTATGTTCCATTTATAACGGGGGTTTTGTACTATTTTTCTTATTTACAATTTATAACCGTGGGTTTTGTACTGTTATTCTTATGTACCATTTATAACCGTGGGTTTTGTACTATTATTCTTATTTACCATTTATAACCGTGGGTTTTGTACTATTATTCTTATTTACCATTTATAACGTGGGTTTTGTACTATTATTCTTATTTACCATTTATAACCGTGGGTTTTGTACTATTATTCTTATTTACCATTTATAACGTGGGTTTTGTACTATTATTCTTATTTACCATTTATAACGGGGGTGTTGTACTATTATTCTTATGTACCATTTATAACGTGGGTTTTGTACTATTATTCTTATGTACCATTTATAACGGGGGTTTTGTACTATTTTTCTTATGTACCATTTATAACGTGGGTTTTGTACTATTATTCTTATGTACCATTTATAACGTGGGTTTTGTACTATTATTCTTATGTACCTTTTATAACCGTGGGTTTCTAATCAAACTCAAGTATAAATTAATTAATAGATATTGTTCTTGACATATTTCCTAATCAGTTCTTATTTTAATTAAACAAATCACATTCTGAAGATATTCAAGGAGAAGAAAAACAAATCTTTTATTTGTGGATTTCAAACTTAAAGGAATTAGTCGTTGCCAAATCTCAAATTTTAAAATCCTTAATCTTTGCAACCTGATATTTCAAAATATGGTTATTTGATCTAACAGAATTCACAATTTAAAATATTGAAGGTCTACGAAATGTGGTTGCAAAGATATAGAAATTAGAAAATCAACATTTCTGGCAAAGACTCATGGTTATTTCGTCAAAATTTTTGTCTTCTGAACCTCAGGATCTTAATATTATACAGGATAATATCTCGTGGCACGCGGCAATCATCTTAATAACTTTCATTTAGGAATCAAGCATTTAATCTCAAAGGAATTGAGTTTTTCCCACAAACTTAAATTTTCGAATTCCAATATCTTAGCGACCTGATGTTGTTTACATTTGATATTTCAAACATAGATAGTTAAGCTAACAGAATTCTTAGTTTGAAATATCTAAGGTCTACGACATTTGGTTGGGACTAGAAAATTAGGACTAGAAAATTAGAGTTTGTTGCAAAGACTCAATTCATTTAAAAGTGCCCACATTAGATAACGAGATCAAACTTCAAGATTGACGATTCTTCACACAAAAGATTTTTTTTGACTCAGGGTCATTTAAAACAATTTAAAATATTCCAGCATTAAAAAAGTTTATCTTATTTATTTCTATTTATATTTACTACAGAAATACAATCACAGTTTAATTACCTAAACTGCTACGTGAAAAAAAATAGTTTTGATGTTTGGTCAAACTAGGAGGACTGTTCAGGATTAGTGATATTTGTCGAGATCAAGGGGCTGTGTGTTGTAGTACCCCCAAGGGGCAAAGGTATCATATCCTGATCCCTAAATATTAACACATAAAAAAAGGTAGGATAAGATCCAAACATAAACTTTTATAGGAATGGAACTTATATAAATCGATTCAAAATAAATAAATGCATAACCTCAAATTACAGCTTTATAAAAATTACATTTTTTCTTAATATTTTAGTATTATTGAATAACCTTGTATTTTACTGGAAAATTCAACTTAATCTAAATATATATTCATGAAAGAAAAAAATAGATTGAAATACCTGTGAGGGTCCTCTGTATACTTGGATCTTGACACGGCCGAGCTAAATAGAAAATATAAAAATATAGACTTAAACAAGTATTTTTGTTTAAAAATAACCGATTTTAAGAAAAGTAACAATGTTCTGAATGATAAGCTGGACTTACAGGAGCTGCAGGAGCAGCATAAGAGGAATCAGCGGCAGTTTCCTGATCAGCAAAGGAGATATCTTCGTTATCTTCTCTTCGAAGGGGTCTCTGAAATCATTATTTGTTTTCAAGACATTAAAAGATCTCGCATTATATTTTGCATCATGTGGCGGAATTTAATTAATTTGAGCTGCCTTCCACAGATTAAGAATTTGAATCGGCAATTCAAATTCTTAATCTTTAACTTTGAATCGGTGGTTTAAATTTGAGCCGGCAGTAGGTAGTTCATCGACCTAGTTCAAATTAAAAAACTTGGTGATCCCTGTAGACATAGTCAAATTTGAATCATCAAAGGATTGTGCCATAAGGATGCACAGTGCACAGATATAGGGGTTAGATAATTTAGTTTAAACTGCAAGTATAAAAAAAATCTAAAAATAAAAGACAAAAAATTCACGCTAAAAACTCATATCCGTTCTTTTTATCTTTGCAACCTGGTGAGCGATTGATATTTCAAACTTTGACTTTGACGGGGCATGGAATTGTTCTTGACTAAGAACACAAAGAAAGGAACAGAACTGGATGGATCGTTCTCAACAAAGAACACTTTTAGAAACAAGTAAAAAAACTTACGAATGCCTGTTGTGGTCTATCTCCTAACTGTCTGGGGACTCGAACAAGAACTTCTCCAGATTCTGGGTTTAAAAAAGCAGGAATCAGGGGAGCTGCTGATACCTGGGAATTGATAATATTTTATTATGATTTTGTTTATTTTTTAATTAATCCTAACCTATAACTTAAAAGAGTATAAATACAGTCCCTACTAACTATTATTAGTTTTTCTCAGATTGATTTTTTTATATTGGAGTTCGTCTGAATAAAAAAATCTTCATTATTTACAAATAATCAAAAACGTTACAAAATACAAAATGATCTGTATTCTAACTTATTTAAAAATTATTTAGTAAAATAACGTTACCTGTGCAATTAGAGAGGCTAAGCCTACGCAAGAAAGAGCAATTAAAGATTTCATCTATATCAATCGTTGACGCTTTTATAAGGGTATACAAATATATTTTCAACTTTATATTTTGAATACGTAGTAATTATAGATTTTCAACTTTTCGGTTTTTTTAAAAAGTGGCATAGGTCTACTAAAACAATAAATTGAATAATATTTGTAAAGTTTTAAACATAACATTGATTTTTTTTTAGATTTTACACTTTTTCTCTTATATTATATTCATAAAAATTATTTAGAACGAATTTCGTTAACGGACGCATTAAAAGCGTCAACACCTTGCCTTTGGACTGTGCGTATAGAACTACTGACTATGTTCTGAACCCCCCACTATTTATCCCTTACCTCCAATGTCAATGTCATTAAAGTATGGCTGGAGTTTACGCGTCAGATGTTTCAAGCCGGGGATACGGGAGCATATCTTTAACACAGGGAGTAGATACAAACGGAGAGGAATTGAACCGGTCTGTTTTCATCACATGATATGGAAGAGTATCTTAAACACAGGGAGTAGATACAAACGGAGAAGAATTGAATCGGTCTGTTTTCATCACAAGGAAGAGTATCTTCAACACAGAAAGTAGATACAAACGGAGAGGAATTGAACCGGTCTGTTTTCATCACATGATATGGAAGAGTATCTTAAACACAGGGAGTAGATACAAACGGAGAAGAATTGAATCGGTCTGTTTTCATCACAAGATATGTAAGTGTATCTTCAACACAGAAAGTAGATACAAGAGAGGAATTGAACCGGACTGTTTTCATCACATGATATGGAAGAGAATCTTCAACACAGGGAGTAGATACAAACGGAGAAGAATTGAATCGGTCTGTTTTCATCACATAATATGGAAGAGTATCTTCAACACAGAAAGTAGATACAAACGGAGAGGAATTGAACCGGACTGTTTTCATCACATGATATGGAAGAGAATCTTCAACACAGGGAGTAGATACAAACAGAGAGGAATTGAATCGGTCTGTTTTCATCACATGATATGTAAGTGTATCTTCAACACAGAAAGCAGATACAAACGGAGAGGAATTGAACCGGTCTGTTTTCATCACCTGATATGAAAGAGTATCTTCAACACAGGGAGTAGATACAAACGGAGAGGAATTGAATCGGTCTGTTTTCGTCACAAGATATGGAAGATTATATTCAACACCATGGGAGTAGATACAAACGGAAAGGAATTAAACCAGTCTGTTTTCATCACATGATATGTAAGTGTATCTTCAACAAAGCGAGTAGATACAAAGGGAGGGGAAATGAGGTGTTTTATCACGTAATAATACCATATGGGAGCGCATCTACATCGCAGGGATTAGATAAAAATGTGTTTTTTAAAAATTAAAATTCGGTAACAATCTCGATTTTAATAACGACGTTTACACATGGTATTTTAGAAATCGTTAACTGTGCAACTATTTCATGCAAAAAAGGCAGCGAAAATTACAATTACATCAATACATGTAAAAATCTTTAAAAATATATCTTTGTGTTTAATCAATTTACTGTAAGTTTCATGGATTTGGAATTTAAATAATAAAAATTAAACCAAAGTCACCATTATTTTGGAAAACATCTGTTAGCTCTAATTTTCCGTTCTTTTTTCTTCATAAATATATTTTCTGTTTTTCAACAATTGAAAAAAGAATTGGTTCATTTTGTTAATTTTCCTAAACTTGCTCTTCGTTCATGGAATCTTGCTCAACCCAACTGGTATACTTAATGCTTTACAGAAATTATACTAGTTCAACATATTTGTTAATTTTTTTATTATTGAAATTAATAAATTTCTCTTGCAGTTTTTTCAGTTTCTCCATAAAGTGTTTTTAGGGTTTGCATACGTAACACATTTTTATTCACTTTGAAAAATGACAAATTACTAATAACTAAAGTGAAGCAAATAATAAAAAAAGAAAATTTTCTTCAAACTTAAAGAATATTTTTATTGGAAAGTGTCAATAAGGTATTCAATCATATTTTATATTAAAATACCACTTTTGAATGTGATCTTTTCGTAATGAGGAACTTTTTTGCAGATCACATGATAAGGCTAGAGGACTGAAATTTCTCTCTTCATCAAATGGTCCGGTGTACTTGCGTAATTGAAGTCCTGCCACAGTAGACAATATGACTCCATGTCAGGTCCGTGTTTACGCGATAAAGGGACCAGCACTAATCTCCTCCATGTTGTTATACGTCAGACCAGCGCCAATCCTTCTCCATGTCTATTTACTCCGTGCTCTTGAGTGAGGTCAGTTCTGTATCATATTGAATCCCTTTATCCCATAGACACACATGATAAGTCGGACCAGCGCAAATGTCTCCCTTAATCTATATACTCTGTGTGCTGGAGTGAAGTCAAGGACTGCATCAAGTCATTAGATGGGTCAGCATCAATCTTTCTCCATATATATCTACTCCGTGCTCTGGCGTCAAGTTAGGTTCTGTATTCCATTGAATCATGTGATTTAGCAGACTGGCTGGTATCTCTCTCTATGTTTTTCTAATTCTTGCAACACATACAATCTGTGGAATAAGAAGACGACAATGAATTAATAAGAAAGTGTGTTTCATGTTTTTAAAACGCAAATAGTTTAACTTATAACTTATTAAATCACTAATTTGTTGATATTGGTCTGTTTACACTGCACAATTGCTGTACCACATGTCCTTTGGACTTTTTAAAATCATAACTTTAGTCTTAAAGTCGTCTTCCTGTTCCATAGTTTTCTGGTTCTCAATGTAAAATAGCATGAAATCTGGCCCAAATATCTCTCTATGTCTATATACTCCGTTCTCAGGCGTGAGATTAGGTCCTGTATCTATTCATAAGGCGGACCAGCACCAATCTCTCTCCATATCTATATACTCCGTGCTCTGAGGTGAGGTCAGGTCCTGTATCTAGTGATAAGGCGGACCAGCACCAATCTCTCTCCATATCTATATACTCCGTCCTCTGACGGGAGGTCAGATCCTGTATCTAGTCATAAGGCGGACCAGCACCAATCTCTCTCCATATCTATATACTCCGTGCTCTGAGGTGAGGTCAGGTCCTGTATCGCGCTCAAATTTCCTAATTTTCTTCAGGTTTACCGGGATACGCACCTCGGCATCATTTAAGAAAATCTTTACGCATGTCATTTTACAACTTCATGAGGCAATAATTGCATTGCATGGACAGAAATGCACAATTGCAATTGCAGATGGCTAATTATACATTTTACAAACTTAGTCTGAGGGGGTTCAGTGACCCATTCCAATCATATATATTATATAAGAAGAAATAATGTTATTAATGATATAAAGTGAGACCATTAAAACTGTTGAATGAAAAGACTTACATTTTGAAACACATTAATTCTGCAGTTTTCATCAATTTACTTAAAAAGTTTACTTTTAAGCTACTAACCCACTTGTAACATATATTTGCCTTAGAATCATAAATATGGTGAAATGTCGTCTTCTTCTTCCACAGCTTTGTGGGTCTTACTTCTTCCCTGCAATTCTTATTTTAGCATACCCCATCTTTATTCTAACCCAAAAAGGTCGGGGGAGGGGGGGGGAAATTTAGCGCCCCCCCTTTCACAAATTGTTATCGAGCAATACATTTAAATCGATTATCTTTCGCCTAATTTGCATATAGTTTATATTTTATAATATTTTTTAATTAATTTGTTTTGAATTTGATTATTTCTCTGGCGGCTTGCGCAACTATCTATGAATGCCGCGCACCACTCACATTTTTCGAAATCAGTTAAAACGTTTTCTAAAAAAATAAAATATTATAAAATATAAACTATATACAAAAGTGGCGAAAGATAATCGATGACTATAGGTTGTAATATCTGAATGATTTGTTTGAAATTAAATGGATTTTTTACGGTCCAAGTCGTAAGTTGCAATTTTCTGAATTTGTATGGGCGCTAAGTTATTCGGTATGAGACGTCTTTAACAACTTTCTCCTTACAGACGCAACAGATAGAAGTAAGATTTGTAGCGATCATAAGCGCTTTTTATCGCATTAAGCCTATACCTCCTTTCAATTTTCGCGAACACTCCCTTTAAATAAAATGTAAAGTCAAGAAATTCTAACATGGACCTCTGTTCTTTTAAATAAAATAAAATTTATTTCTATTTGATTACTTGAAATCTTGCATGGATTCAAAATCTCTTTAAAGTTCCGTGAGAAACAACTTTTTTCAACAGCAAAGAATTGAAAATTCAAGGCTTTTTAGAACACATCAGTAAAAGTTAAGAATTTCTAAAAAGAAAATTATTTACAAACAGGGGCGTACGAGGGCTTTTGCTTAGGGGGGGGGGGCACAAAATATTAATACCTTTTTTAAATTTTTTTGCCCCCCCTCTCCCACCTGGACTTATTTTGTTCACCATAAAAATACACCAAAAAGACTACTTTTTTGGGTGTTACTAACCTTAGAGTCTAAAAATTATTCCTTTGCTTGAAAAACTAACTTTTTGACTTTATAAATTTATCACTTAACTCCATCACAGCTAACTAAATCAATAATCACAGCATCATTAAAAATTATATTTTTACGAATAAACGAAATTTCTTCTGAAATTTTTAGATAGAATTTACTCAATCTACATTTTAACCAAATCTTTTAAGCTACAATTTTCTGGGATTTGCTTGCACAAACATTTCAATGATTTTTTTAAGTAGAGAGCTCAGACAGCCTTATAGGGTGTACAGCTATAAGTGCAAGATCGTTAACCCTATCCCTGCTGGGGTACTTGAAAACCAGGATACGCTGGGGGGGGGGTCAATTTGACCCCCCCCCT